CATTAGCGGTGGCTTTTACAAAAAACGGTTTATGCTGAGCTTTGTTGTATTAAAAGGATTTTCTGACTATTGTTCTATATCCAGTGCTGTACGATTATTTATAATTTCATATCTGCAAAGCGTCGGATATTTTTTGTTGGTACTTTCCATTAAAGACATTTTTTCTGCAAATTTACTGGCTATCTCTTTATCTTTTGTGGTTGACAGGAACGATTTATTCATAACACGAGTACCAGTAATATAATGAAGTAGATCGTAGTCAGTGAGTCGCATGCCCCGATAGGTTTTTCCAATAAACGTATAGCTTTTCAGTTTCGGATGTTCAGCTATGATGCCAGCTATTCTTCCATTAGTATACCAATATTTCTGAAAACTATTATTAAATGATATCAACTTGACATTGAGAATGTCCTCCGAGGTGGCAGCTAAGTCTTTGTTAAGACGAGCATAAAACTCAGTTTCTGCTGTATAAGCCTTAACAATATACATTGGATTATCTTCTTGAGCTGCTCTATAGAAATACCATTTGATGATATCAATACCTGTAATATCACGTAACTCTATATCCAAATAGCATTCGGTAATTAGTTGACATGAATGCGCTAAGTTGTTGCTTAAACGTTTGAGTCGTTTGCGATAATCAGCTGATTTTCCAATGACATTTGGATCAATAAATAACCATTCAATTTCACTAGATAGACTAACAAAACGTACACTATCTGATCGTCGTTCAAATAGTTGTTTTATCTCTGGGGTACTGGCTTCTTCATAAGGTGTCAACTGAAATCTATTTTTTATAGATCGACTTGCACCACTATCTAGCAATAATTTTACAATCTCAGCGTGTCCATAGTATGCTGCTGCATGCAACGCTGTACTAGAATTAGTTTCCGTCCGGTTAACCTCATCAACGCGCAAAGTTTTTAGCAGTTGTTTGACTTTCTTAATGTCATTATTACGACAAGCAGCGTAGAGCATTTGTGGTTAATAGTTGTTATACTGGACGAGCAAGCAGTGAGCTCAAATAGTTCTGATTTTTTTTCTACAAAATTTGGTACTGACTTTATTGACAATATTACTATCAGTGATAATAAAAAGAATGTTTTTACCTTTTCTGGTTACTATCAAGCAGTAAATAAATGTTCTATTTCTAAAAATAACATATATTGACAAAGCAATTTTCGTATTTTCGCTTTGTCAATATATGTTATTTTTAGAAATAAAACATTTATTTACTGCTTGATAGTAACCAGAAAAGGTAAAAACATTCTTTTTATTATCACTGATAGTAATATTGTCA